TTGTTCTACAATGTCATGTATATTGCATATTGCCTTCTTGTAATGTATAAAATTTTAGTATCAAAACTTTCCACATTCGCATGAAAAAACTCTGCCTTTGAAAAAAACTGGGCCAAAACATCTGGGGTGGAAATTTCTTTGTCAAAAATATCCTACATTCATTATGACATTCAGAAATATAGGGAATTGAGCACTTCCGGATTCAGGTACATATTTTTGTGGCCAAACCACCTGACTAATCACAACTATTTTACTTTTAACACAAGAACGCATATATTTTGAATCAGTTATGCAGAAAATTGAATTATTTAATTTATATAATAAGAAGCTATGGCCCTACGTGATACATGTTAAATATCAAGTTTATCAGTTGGAGCAATCAGAAGAAACAAATGCCTAAAATTGAAGCCATTTATGACAGAAATCCAAAATGGATTATTATTCTATTTAAAACTTCAAACGTACGTCATGCATCCATCATATTATATATCTTGTGTCTATGAAACAAACAGGGACTATGTCATTGACATTGACCAGTTTTATTTTTCTCATTAGAATCTTTGGTCACACATTCTATATCAGGTTAAAAGACAAATGTGCAGCATACGAGAAAAACTGTATTTTAGGAGACGGTTTGGCAACAGACGACTATGCAAAAACACAACCAATTACGTAGAACAGAGCAGCAACGTTTATTGATGACGGGAACAAAGACTACTGAAAAACATACATTTTCTTTGTCTTTAAATAGACTTATATTTGACCTTCGGTAAAAGGCGCGGAAATTAATCCCATGTGGGATTGGTCAGTAACTATCAGTAGCCTTGGACATGATTGGTCTGAATTAACTAATTGTTGTCCGAGTGACTTGAGTCCACGGATGTGACTTTCTAATTTGTCGTAGAAGTTGCGTAGACTGTGGTAATCTTCTGAGGGTTCGGGCAAGTCCCAAAGCGATCTCATGAAGGCGCTTCTGATTTTGTGAGGCTGTCCATATCGGTGCTCTAGTAAGTCCATAGCTTGGGTGTAGTTTGTATTGGTCAGTGTTAACCCTTCAATTGTGCGGGCTGCCTCATCTGTTAATTGTGCACGGAGATACTGGAATTTCTGTACATTTTGTAGATTCGAGTTTTCATGTACAGCCGAGTAGAAAGAATCTTTAAAACTCACCCACGTTAATAAGTTGCCTCCAAAGTACGGCAACGACAGTTTCGGCAAGTTGATAGACTGGTTATTTTGCATTGGAGCCGGGGTTGAGATGGAACTGGCTTCTGCAGTTGTTTCTGGTTCTCGTGGGGCCCTCTGTTGATTTTCTCGTTGCGAATTCCTTTCGATGAATCAACCAAACTTCATTGAGGTAGTCATCAGAGTTGATAATGACTGCTTCTAAGTCTTCTTCTTCAGTTTTGTCGATGATATTGATGTCGACAAGTGTAGCGTATTTCGTGGAGAGTAACTCTTGTAGGACACTGAGCGAGTCTAGGTTGTCGACGCTGGGGTCTGAGGGAAACGCTGTGACGGTTTCATCGACACGTTTGAGTAGTTTGGTCATCTGGCCACAATGTGCTGAACAAGTCGCTCGTAGCTTGGATAGCGATGGCGAAGGAGTTGGCTGTGGAGATGTCATCTTGGAATCCTGGTCTCGGCACCAAAAAATAAAAAATGCTCCAAATTCTTGCCACTTGTGCCAGAAATTCAAGATAGTGATTGATCAATTTTTTTTTCTGGTAAGAAGCTACATGCCAAATATTAAGTCGATTAAATAAAAAAATTCACGTGACTGTTCTGAATTATTTGTTTGCTTTCTGAAAGTATTTAATATGGAAATGCAACCTAGAAAAGTAAACGTAAAAACACTGACAATACAACTCATTAGTTTTTTTTTTTTTTTTACTAATTATTAACTATCACATTATAATGAAACTTGGTACATATGTGCCCTGGAACAATACACATACCTAATTAGTTTTGGGTTGCAATTTGCGCTTAATAATTGCATAATCATTACATTTCATTGAAATTTGGTTTATAAATGCTCTAGGGTATTCCACAGATGTGATTAGTTTAATAATGTTAAACATGCATATTGATTATCTAATTATTATTAGCTAATTTCTGGTGTCTCAAAAATTCAAATTTTAATGGTTAGAGGTGCTCTGGAATAAATTAGACTGAAAACCACAGATGTAAAATCAAATTTATTTTGTGTTATAAACTTCAATAATGTGGTTCACATTGTGTTCACGTTGTACATCTAAAATAGCAGACAAATATTAGTTGCCAAGCTTCTTGTTTGGAAGGCTAATTAATTTTAATATGTCTCCAATATCTCAGCACACCAGAGTTCTTTCTAAGGTTTCATTGATTATTCTTGAAATAGAAGCCCATTGGCTGATAAAGCTATTACAAAAATTTTCACATTTCAGGTATTCATTGATGGATCTGGTTCAAATCTGTTGTCTAACAATAAAGATTTGCCTGAGTTGTTAAAAAAGAGATTGCATGCAAATTGCATGACTTGTTACTTTTCAAAAATATATAGTGAATACGTCAATTACCATACACTTATTTTTTTAATTAAGCTCGAAGCTGTGGTAGTCCTGGGAGTATCAGAAATGGAAGGACTATTGGTAATTTATTTACATTTCCAAATCGTGTTTATTATGAATGTAATGAGGGCTATAACTTGATTGGTCGATCCTACCAGGCTTGTCAGACTAATATGGAATGGAGTGGATATCAACCAGAGTGTAGACGTAAGTAAATATATTGTATTACATGACTTAAATTCATACATGGTTTCGTCAAATCAAGCTTTTATTGACAATTGGGACTTTGACATTAGTCTGTTGAGCAACGTGACAACTACCGTAAAAACCCTCAAATAAGAGCCACTTTGTAACACTTTCATTTCTGGGTGGTGCTTATTTGAGG